ACAAATTCGAGTTCATAAAAGTAAGGAATAGAATAAATAACAAGATCATAGAATTTAGTCCAGTTATGGTCAATAAATTTATGTTCTTTTTTTATTCTATCCTCTATTTTCTCCAGGCTTGGCTGCTGAAGTTGATGTGCTCTCACTTGATAAAAGAGTTCTTCAGTCTTTATTTCGAACGCTGTTTCAGAGTCTTTATTCTTGAAGTCGTCATATTCTTCGATGAGGTTCTCTGCTTCGTACTGGGTATGAACTCTAAGGGATGAAAGTTGGTTCAAAGATTGGGTGGTGGCCACAGAAGTTCGATGCCAATGGAGAAGCAACGGGAGTTGGTCTAAAAACATTTAGAGTTCTGCTTAGGTGATGGTGTTGAGAACGTGACCCCGAGTCATAACATCACAAGCCCATCGAAAGTTCTTAAGATGAGCATCATCTTCAAAAACATTGAAAGGCAAGTGAGAAAAGACCGTGAGCAGAAGTTGGGCTTGCTTTCGCTGAGCTGGAGTAAGGAGATGTGGAGGCTTATAAGAAGGAAAACCTTGTCCGCAGAGAGGGTAAGCCTCAGTCTCTCCATCCAGCGGGATTTTGCGGGGGAGGAGGTATAGAAGCTTCCATTTCGAAAGAAAGAGGAAACTGAGGGGCATTAACACAATCAAGCCAGTCAGAAGAACATAGCTTCGCCTTCTGGGCTAAGAACGATGGGTTATACCCTTGTGCTTCTTCTGGGCGTCAGGTAGCTTGTGCTATCTTTGTAGGCATGGAGGATGTGTACCATGCTACAAGTAGATTATCCTCTAAACTGCGTCGATGGTCGATGGGCGCGTAAGGATAAACCACCGAACTTCGAGCATCATAAGGGAATTCTAGAGGATCAGTGAACTCGACAAAGTGATGATTAACTCGCTCCCTTAACTCACATGCCTCAGATTTTGACCAGCTTCTCCAACCAGAAGCCCTAGAGGAAGAAGAAGCTACAGCCTCATCCCATGCAGAAGTTTCTGGGTTAGAAGAAGAGCTTCCAATGTCCATTTTTTCAAAACTTTGGGTTAGAGAATTATGAGTAGCAAGTGTGTAATCCAAAGGTTGATAGTTTGCAAAAGCTTCCATGACTTGAATATAGGGAGGTGGGTAAAGGTGGCTAATCAATGCATGAAGGTTCTTTCAAAGAAGAACAACATCATCAGATGACTCTTTGCATAATCGATCAATAGAAGAGAGAATTGATTTGGTCATAAAAGATGTATCAGACTGTTCGAATACTAGGATGGTGAGGATGTTCAAAGGATTAAAAGAGAATTTAATGCAAATGATGAATGACAGTTGCATTTCTGGAAGAATGCAAAGCCCATGCACGTTGATCCACTAATATCACCAAGTATTGGGTATATTAGTGCGGGGGGTAATGTTGGCTACATATTTTGTATAAGCCAATTATAATTCAACACGTGACAGGTTGAGGGTAATACGGGAAGACAACCCAAACCTTCGATCGTGATCGTACATGTGGCAGTTAATATTGGTTTTCATAAGATCTGCGTAGTTCTGGATCAGCAAAGAGATGCAAAATGATGTGGCCTCAACAGTTACTCACATTTAAATTCAAAATCAGGAGGGAAGCCTAACTGCAAGTATTGGCATAGTAGAGCTAACTATAAAGCAATATGATCAGCGATCATGAAGGAGCAGTTCGATGATTAGAAGTGCAGTTCGATACTTATCCTTGAGAAGTATAAATAGTAGAGAAGGCCCCAGAAAAAACCCCAGACTTAGATCCAGAAAACCAGTTTTATTCTATTTCATTTCTTTTCCAGTTTTTACATTTCTTGTTCTTTACATTTCTGTACTTCAAATTCCTGCACTGCATTTCGTTCATAGGAGTAGTTTTCAAGTAGCTTGTTGTTGTAAACCTCTACGAGACTGATTCAGATCTTTGTAAGTCTTTCATTTTGCTTAATGAAATGCTACAATTGCTCTTTATTTAATCATTGTTTGCTTAATTCTCCTAAATAAAGCTATCAGTAAAAGTCCTCCTCATTGAGGCTGAAAGAACTAAAATACAGTCGTCTGATAATTGGTTGGCAATTAACAATCTGTAAGGACTGATTGATCCTTACTGGCATGCTCACAATTACAAAAATAACCTTCAAAAGCCAAAAAAGCCAACAAGCCCGAAACTTTAAAATCTGATTTCAGATCTTCTCACAATCTGAAAATCATTACTGTTTAACTTGTTCGTTTCACGTTAGGCAACCACCTTAACCTCAATGTTTCATCTTGACCAGCAGAAGTGGGGTCTTTAGATTTCAAGTTGAAGGTTGCGGTATAATAGAGTTTTGGATGCGATTGGTGACTTGCATCTGATTGCTTTTAGTTTGTTTTTTTTTATTTTTTTATTATTTGCTATAATAATCCTTTATGTGTGGAGGTTATGTCCGTCCCATGTGAGGGTTTTTCTCCTCCTGTATGGAGGTTAGAATTCTTCCTTTTATGAGAGTTTGTTATCTCTTTATGAGATCTTTGAGTACCGCTATACAAGATTGATCTGATTTTTTTATCAAATTTGCAATAAAATTTTTCTACCCTATCTAAAAAAAATTAAAACTAAAAAAAATCTCATAAATAAACACAACATAAGGCATAACTAAAGAACTCATAACTCATAACTAAAATAATGTCATAATTATAAAATAAATAATAAAAAACTAATTATAACTAAAGAAAAAAATAACATAACTAAAAATGTATATGATATATCCTTTCAACGGGAAAATAGTAAGCCTGTGTGTGGACGACAACTCGACATACCTGTCCGACCCATCCGAGCTCAACAGCTTGTGGTCGATTTTGATTCACAAAACGATCGGAAGTGGTTTACGCAAATCAAAATTTTTGAGTTCATGGTCGGTGGCCGTTTTGGATTGTATTCATCTATCGAAACCGACCTGACCGTTTTTTATAAAGCAAAAGATAAGACAGGCACAGTTGGTTTCATTATCTTGGTTGATGTGATTGTAATTATTAACATTCATGTCTCAGTGGGTTTTATGACATTGGTTGTTGTAATTGTTATTATTAATATTCATCTATGCCATTGAAATAAGTGTAATATTGCTCCACAGAGAGAGATTCCTGACTCTTTACAACTCTTAACTCTTCGTTTCTTTCATAAAAAATAAAAATAAAAAACTTTGTTTCTCTTATCTCTCGCCTTTTACTAGGGGTGGGCGCGGGTCGGTTGCGGCCACGGAACCTCCAATCTGCCATCCGTCCGCCAGATTGGCAGATTGGAGAAAATCAATCCGCATCCGTCCACCAATCCGACGGATGTGGATTGAGCGGATTGGCGGTTTGGCGGATGGATGCGAATCGGTTTGGCGGTTTGAAATTTTATAAATTTTCAACATAGTTCAACTTGTGCACTTCCCCAAAAAAAAAAAAAAATGTATTACAGTCAATGACTTAAAAAAGTATTACAATTACTGCATGTCTCATCCAAAGAAAGAAAGTTTGAAAATTTAGAATATCACAATCACTGCCTTATCCACATAAAGTATTACAATATGTGGTTCTTAAAATATAAAAACAATTCAAACCACCAAAACCATGAACAAAGCAGTAGTAGAGATTGTATATCTCTGTATTGTTACATTTATATATGTTTTTGAAAACAAAAACCAACCAGCATGTATCATATTTTCTATTTATTACTTTTAGAGTTAGATTTAAAAACCAAAAAATATAAATAAATAATACGTTTATTTTTTTCAATTAAAAAAATATATTCAAGTTGAAAACGTGTTTTCAACAAAATATTTAAACTCCTTTTCAATTGAAAATACAAACAAAATATTTAAACAAATTGAAAACACAAAGTCTTATAAATTATTAAGGATACTCGTGGTTTGGCGGTTTGGTTGGGGCCAAAGGAATCTCAAATCCGCCATTCGTCCACCAAATTGGCGGATTGGAGAAAATCAATCCGCAACCGTCCACTCGTCATCACGCATCCGTCCAAAATGCGGCGGATCGGTTTAGTTCGGTCGGTTTTGACAGATCAATATATTCGTTGCTCACTCCTACCTTTTACCCTTCTCTATCTCTGTCTACCTTCAATCAACCCTCTGACTTCTCTCACCCTTCCCTACCTTTCTCCATCTCATTTGTCTCACCCTTACGCCTTAACTGGCCATACTCATTTGCATTCAAGTGAATCCAACTCTTAACAATGACGGCGAAAGAGTATGGACCAATCTTCCTTTACAAAGCAATATAATGACAACAATGATATCAACGAAGGTTTCATCAAAATCTAATATCTCAATTGGTGATTTCCTTTTGAGATCTTGCTTCAGATATGATATGTAATTTTTATTTTTAATTTATGAGCGTATATACCCTCTAAAAAAAAATTATGCCTATATATATATATATGTTAAATCCTTGAGTTTCACCAATTCGGAAACTGGCCTGAACTCATCCGCCAACTCAGGTGTTGTTTGGCAAGTTAGTTTGTGGCTAAAATAGTCACAAAAGACAAAATAGGTTATTTTAGGTACAACAAATAAAATATCACATCCAACCCATAATCATTACACTATTCTTTCATAAAAAAAGTCAAAAAAGTTAAAAAGTCAAAAAATCCTCTCCAAATCAAATTTTTTAGCCCAGGTTAAAATAATTAAAAAAATTAAAAAATTAAAAAGTCAACCCGCTTTTCAAGGAGGCTCAATTGACATGAGTAGTTGATTTCAAAATTTCAAACGATTGAGATCGGTTTGCAAAATTGTAATCAGATCATGTTTGGTTAGGTTGGGAGTAAAGGTCAAACCCGACCCGTGCACGGAGTATGTATTTGAATTTTTCAAAAATTTTCCATGGGCTATTTGTATAATTTAAAAAAAAAATAAAAAATAAAAAATAAAAAATTTAAAATTTAAATGGCATTGTTTGGTAGACGACGACGTATCAACTGGCTCTAGTCTTCTTCTAGATTAACCCAAACTAGGACGCAACAATTCCTCTTGTCATCATCATCAGTAACCTCGTTCTGTTCTTCAGTTTAGAGAGAGAGAGAGAGAGACAGAGAGAGATGTCGTGCTTGTGTTCTTGCTGTGCGTCTCTGACGTGCGGTCTTTGTTCATCGGTGGCCTCTGGGCTCTCCAAACGATCAGCTCGAATCGCTTATTGCGGCGTCTTCGGCCTCTCCTTAATCGTTTCATGGATCCTCAGAGAAGTTGGAGCTCCTCTATTGGAGAAAATCCCATGTCAGTTTCTTCACATTTTCTCAATTGCTTGTGTGATTTGATTGATTGCCATAAGTTTTCTGATCTGGGTTTCTTCTGTTTATTGTAATTTAGTAGTATTTTTATCATTTGGGCTCTTGTCCAAGGGGAAAAATTAAATCTTTTTTTTCACATTTGGTCAATTCATGTGTATGTATTCCCTGTGAGTGCTTAGAATTCAAGGGCTGTTTGATTGGGCAAATTATAGCATAGGATTGGGATTATTTATCTCCGGACTCATATTCTTTTGTTTGGTTGCAAATTTTATTATTCGGATTAAATTTCAGTGATCATTCTATCTAACAAATTGACGGATTTTTTTAATCCTAATACGGCAAAACTTACATATAATTGTGATTATATATTTCCATATTTATTGCAAAACAAACGTGGACCAGAGGGAAATATGTATCTCACTAATCCAACTGGATAATCAATCTTACATTAATCTCATGGATTGTTAATCCCCTCACTATTAATCTTGCTAATCAAACAGGGGCCAAAGGTTTAAGTTATCCTTCAATGCTTGTATTGTTTGTTTTATTAAGGACATAGCTGATTTTTGTCTAGTGTGGGAAAAACCTAGGACCATATGCCAATTTTTTCCACGAATTGACAATCAAAGAAAGTATAATATTTTGAAGTGATAATGGAAGTGAAACCACAATTAGGCAAAATAAACACACAATTTGATACAACATAGACCCAAATCATCAAACTCAATAGTTCAGTCCACAGATACAATTTAACAAAACTAAGCCCCAACGGTGTGACCCTATTTCAAAATCTAATTTCATACCATTCAAACCCTAAATTAAATATCCAAAATTTTAAACCGTAAAAAATAAAAAATAATAAATAATAAATCTCAACATTGATTAGGGTGTCAACAAATTATCAAAACCCCAAATTTCTATTATATTTGTGTGTGTGTGTGTATATATATATATATATATAGAGAGAGAGAGAGAGAAGGCTCGCTATCGGTTGGATGTTAAAACTGGGCCATGGTCCTCGAATTTCTAATGCCAAGGATGCACAAATACTTAAAATGGGTGATGTGTCTATATCCAACATGTATTAAACATTGAAAGTCATAGACACGCGTGTCCATGTGTCAATTTTTGAATCTTTTTTGACAGGACACATTGAGGGCACTCCATAGACATGCTTGTCACATGTTTAGACATGTCTCAGGATACCTTTGTAGCCTTTTTTTTTTTTTTTTTTTCTTAAGAAAGTTGATGTGCAGTCAAAGTAGAGTATATGGAAACAAAGAAGGGGAGAAGTGAAAAAAATTATAATAATACACCCGCATATATGATGTCTCTTATAAATCCTTATTGATCCAAAAAGGAAAATGTTTTAAAAATGTGTAATTTGTCTTTCAAGAAATAATTAAGAGTACTGCTTTTAAAATTATTGACACTTAACTCATCTCGTTTTTTGTATCACTTCATAAGTTTTTATTGTATTTGAATTTTTTCTAGGTTTCAGATATCTAATTGTCCACTTTGTTACACATCATAAAATAAAAATAAAAATTCACTACATTGTCTAGATTTAATAAGATATGACTACTAGCTTAGAGATAAGAACTTGTTTGGTTTTGATTTACAGGGATAAGCACTTCCGAAACTGCATCAAAGGAATGGTATCAGATACAAGCAGTTCTTCGTGTCAGCTTGGGGAATTTTTTGTTTTTTGCAATACTTGCCCTTGTGATGATAGGCGTGAAGGATCAAAATGACAAACGTGATTCCTGGCACCATGGTGGATGGACTGCTAAGCTTGTGATTTGGGCTTTGCTCACCGTCCTCATGTTTTTCATGCCAAATGAAGTCATAACAATTTATGGTCAGCTTTACCTCCATATATGGCATTTTGTTTTGGAGCATTTAATTGTTTTGGTTTTTTGTTTTTTGTTTTTTGTTTTTGTTTTTGTTTTTGTTTTTGTTTTTTTTTGTGTTGGTTCCAAGCTTGATAGTTGGAGCATTTTTGACACTATCTTTGATATATGTATGTCACATGTAGCATTAGCAAAGTAACAAAAAAAAGTGTTCCCATGTTATTATTCGGAATTGCCCTTTGGAAGAATTGGATAATTGGATTATTGGGAAAATGAGACCCAATGTTGTGATTGTCATTGTGCATAGGAGGAATTTCTGTCTAGAATGGAGTAGCCTCTTATGGTTTGTGCAACATGCTTGGGGCATCTTAGAAGTCTTATAATTCACCATAAGTATAGTTTAATCAGTGGCTACAGTTGGCTCTCACTTTTTCACATGATGTCCTGTCCTCATTTTCATTTTTTACTATCCCACCCATCTCCTCCAACTCTATTTGAAACTGTAAAAAATTGTACTTGTTTTCCAGAAGACTAATTCATAATTGGTTGTTACAAAATCACCCTATTTGCAGGCATTCTATCAAAGTTTGGAGCGGGTTTATTTCTATTGGTCCAAGTGATCATATTATTAGATGCCACACACTCATGGAACGATGCTTGGGTCGCTAAAAATGAGCAGAAATGGTTGGTTGTAGTAGTTATATGTCACCAATATCCCTATCCTAGATTTTGTTTGACTTATTATAACCGTCTTTTGTTTGCTTTCAGGTATTATGCTTTACTTGCTATATCAGTTGTTTGCTATATTATAGCATTTACGTTATCAGGAATTCTGTTTATTTGGTTCGATCCTTCCGGCCAAGACTGTGGTCTCAACGTCTTCTTTCTTGTCATGACCATGATTCTTGCGTTTGCATTTGCTGTTATTGCGTTGCATCCACAGGTAATGGAAACATCTGTTTCGTTGGTGGTCCAATGCTTTCATTTCTTGACATTATTGTAAACCATTATTTAACTAGTGCTTTTGATCTTTATGTCTTCGTGTATATTATGTTTGTCTTCTACTATCCTGTTGCCTTGTTGCCTTGTTGCCGTTGAAGGAACCAACCACTCAAACTTAAGGAAAAATGACCGAAATATTGATAACAATTCTATGATGCATAACCATGTTTAGTTTTTGGTGGGGGGTTGCTTTTGTTAATTTCCTCTTTTGAATTAAAGGGATCTTGGTTGGATTAAACCAAGGGCTATACTTATCCAAAAAAAAAAAAAAATTAAACCAAGGGATATGGTATGAGCCGTATGACTGAACTGAATAAACTTTTGAAATGAATAGCAAGTCAAACAAGAAGGAAGCACATAAAACTTAAAAGACGACAGTGAATGGGATGACAATCATTCTTTAGGTATGTGTACTATGCTTAGTATCCCAATGCGTTGGCATGAGGCTCATGGGTTGTTCATGCATCCCAAATGTCACACGTTTTTTAGATTTTATGAGGACTTAATTATAGGAACTGTGTAATTTAATCACTAAGGGAATGAGTTATCATAGTCTTTCTCCTTTGTGTTACCAGCTTTGCCTTGACAAATGTTTCGTCTCTAATTAGTATCTTGATGTCTTATTCTATTTTGAGACTTTTTGGGATAATCTCAGGGCTTAAGGTTAATTTGGAGAAAAGTAGCGTGGTGGCCATTAATATGTAGCAAGACCTGCTTCAGAATAGGGCATCACTTTTAGGATGTGGTATAGAGGTACTTCTGTTTAAATATTTAAGTCTTCCATTGGGGGGTAATCATAGAAGTGAAGCTTTTTGAAATCCTGTTGTGGAGAAGATTGGTAAGAGGTTGGAAGGGTGGAGTAAGGCTTTATTGTCACGCGGGGGTAGATACATTTTGGTTTAGACGGTTTTGAGTGGTATTTTTATTTATTTCTTATCTTTATTCAAGATACCGGTTAAGATGGTAAGGGCATTAGAAAAGTTGATGAGGGATTTTAGGATCACCTGGTGAATTGAGATTTAGGCCTCGTTTGGGAACTCTCTCATTTAGCCAAAAAGTCAAAAAGTTACTAAAAAGGTCAAAAAGCCAACAACCCATGCCAAAAAGTCAAAGATTCTCTTTTCTCTCTACTTTTTGCACATCTTTTCGTAAAAAATCAAAAAGTCATCCCAAGCATATTAGTTTTTTTTTAGCTCTTATTTTAGCCAAATAGCCAAAAAGTTACTAAATTAGTTTGTTCCCAAACGAGGCCTTAGTTTCGTTGCCTAAGGAAAAGGGGGGTCTGGCCATTGGTAATATTTTGACTAGGAACATGGCCCTTCTTGGTAAATGGTTATGGAGATTTCCACTTGAGAGTGATTCACTATGGCATTCAGTTATTAGAAGCAAGTATGGGACTTAAAACAATGGTAGGGATTCATGGGTGGTTTTGAGGGGTAATTGTCGTGCTCCTTGGAAATTAATTTCTCATATCTACACATGTTGGTCTTGTCATCTTTCTGTAAGGGTGGGCAATGGGAAACTTGTTCGTTTTTGGGAGGATGTTTGGATTTGGATGGGTCAATCTTCTTTTGCTTTTGATTTTTCACATCTCTATAGAGTGACTTGATCTCATAATTCTTCTATTGCTTCCATGGCCTGTTCACTTTTGGCTCCAATTTCCTAGAATTTTGATTTTTTTAGGAATCTTAATGATAAGGAGACTTCGCAGTTGGCATCTTTGTTGTCCATAATCGATAATTTCTCTTTGGCTCCTCTTTTGGAGGATAAGAGGGTTTGAGCTCTTCATTCATTTGGGATTTTTTCTTGTAAGCCTTTTTTTTGATAAAATCATCGATATTCCTCATGTTCCTCAGTTTTCTTTTTATAAAAGAATTTGGAAGGGTTGTGTTCCTCTTAAGATGAAAGTGTTCATGTGGGCCTTGGTTCATGGAGGCATTTTGACAAATGATACATTGCAGAAAAGGAGGCCTAATCGCTTTCTAAATCCTCAGTGGTGCATTCTGTGTTGTAAGAATGGGGAATTCGTGAATCATTTATTTCTGCATTGCCCAATTGCTTTGAATTTATGGCACAAATTGTTTTTGTTGGGGAATGTTATGTGGGTAGCTTCTAAAGGGAGTGCGCATATGCTCTAAGTTGACTTTCGCTCTTTTTGGAGGATCAAACAGAGCCAAAATGCTATGGTCTTGTGCGGTCTTTGCAACTTTTTGGGTTCTATGGATGGGAAGAAACTCGAGGGTGTTTGAAGATAAGTTCCAGGAGATGGACTCTTTGTGGGATAGTGTTTGCCATTTAACTTCTTTTTGGGTTTCAAGGAATCCTTTATTTAAACTTTTTTTTGTTAGCTAGAGATTGGTTGGCGGTGTGTGATATGTAGGTTTTTGCTTAAGAGTTTCTTGTTAGGGTTTTGTAAGAGGATGCTTTATCCTCGCTTACTTTTTTAATTTACCAATGAAGTCCTTTGTTGTTGATCCAAAAAAAAAAAAAAAAACTATCTTGATGTCTTATGTGTCATGGAAATGTTTTATTTTTATACTTTAAAACAAGAATACAGAAAGTATGGTGTGGAACTGATTTCACAAATAAGGATATCTTATCCTATGAAGTACGGGTACGAGTATGAGTACTTGTATTGGTACGATACGGGTACGTTCATACGGTAAAATCCAAAAAAAGTAGAGTACAGGTACGGCTTGTAAAAAAATATTTATTTTTAATTTTGAGTAATGCAAAAATTAATTAAATTGTTTAATTTGTTAAGATCCAACCTATAATTAATATATAATGCTAAAAGTAAAGGTATAAATCAAAATTAAATGTTAATATATTAAATAACTTACAAACCATAGTTTAATTTTAAAATCATGCCAAGCATAAAACTAAAAATAAAAAAGAAGTCTAGTGAAAGGAGTTTTATCTCTGTAGTAGAAGAAAATATTGTTTTAATTGAGGTACGGTACGGTTTAGGTATATACTAGGTACGTCTAGGTATGCCAAAAATTAAGAAGAAAAAAATTGAGTACATGTTTCGTGTGTAGAAGTACCATACGAGGTACCATACGCCGGTAAGTAGCCGGTATGGGTACGGCATGTTTTTCGAAGTACCCATACTTATTGGAATATCATTTAATTGGTGCTCTGCTGCAAAACTGGAAACCTCTGTTACAGTTTACTCAAAATATTTTCTAATAAGATTACAATCTGATCTCTGTAATGTCTTAAGTATTTATCCCCCTTTTTTCTTTTGGTGTGCGGGTGCATGTTTTGTTTTACTTTTACCTTTGCATGTGAGGTGAGGATTGGAATATGTTCTGACAAGTGACGACTTAGAAAGACATTGATAGTTTATATGAATCAAACAGGCAGAATGTACACTTCCTTTCTTGGAAAGGATTGTGGTTGATCTGTAAGAAGAGTAAGGAAGTTTGAGAGGTGGGATTGGGCCCCCGTGGGTGCCGATGCTCGCATTATGGGTTGTCAAAGAACTTATGCAATGGGGTTTCATAGCTTTTTTAATGCTTATAACTATTTTTGGATTCTTTTGTTTGTGTAGATTTCTAATTGATTGCCCTACCTGAAAATATTCAGTATGCAATTTCATACATTCTTGGTATTAACGGCCACTTTTTTAATTATATGGGTTTGTGATGTAACGATCGATGTTTGTGGAATTTTTGAGAAGCTACTCTCCTGGCTGATAAATCCCAGTTAGGACCTTGTATGTACCTATTATTTTCATTTTGTTTGCTGATTCTGCTTAACAGATTGAGCATTCTCTCGTACAAGTCTTTTTGGGTTTCTTTAAGCACCTCTACCATCATGTCACCATATATAACTGGCACTGGTTTCCTTTTTTTTTTTAACCATGAACACAAAATCAGTTAGTTCCTAAAGCGCTCATTTTTTAAAAGATGGTCATAGCTTTTGATGTGCTGCAAAGTAATTGGTGATTTGACAAATTTAAGAAGCTCATAACAAAGAGAAGCCCTTCCCTTGATTTTTGAGAAATAGAACTCGAATTTGTAACTTACACATGGGTTACGATGATGATTGTAAACAGGTGAATGGAAGCCTCTTGCCTGCGTCTGTTATATCCGTTTATTGTGCTTATGTGTGTTATACGGGTCTCTCTTCTGAACCTCGATATTATGTGTGCAACGGTCTCCACAACAAATCAGCAGTAACCACAAGTACGCTTCTTCTCGGGATGCTGACAACAGTTCTCTCGGTTCTTTACTCTGCAGTACGTGCAGGATCTTCGACAACCTTTCTATCCCCACCTTCTTCACCCAAGTCAGGTACTTGAAATACCTAGAAACCTTAGTAGTCTGTTATAGGTTCATCATTTTCATATAAATTTTCTCCTTCTAAGGTGAAAATATCTTTCTGGTGTTTATTTTCACTAAAAAAAAGAAGAGAAACCATATGGAAAAAAAAAAAGTTTAGAAAACAGATTCTAAAAACATAAGCTAACAGCGTGAAATAAGTTTCTAAATATAAACTTCACCTTCAGGTGGGAAGAAACCCCTTCTTGATTCAGAAGTGGAAGAAGAGTCGTCTGATAATTTGATGAGACAGAGTCGCGGCCAGTTAGTTACTCATATACATTCTTCCATTTGATATTTGCTCTGGCTAGCATGTATTCAGCCATGCTTCTTTCCGGATGGACCAGCTCTAACGAGAGCTCAGAACTGATCGATGTTGGCTGGACATCGGTTTGGGTTCGTATCGTATCCGAGTGGGTCACCGCCGTGCTCTATGTCTGGACCCTCATAGCTCCTCTGATCTTATCGGACCGTGAGTTCAATTGAATTTTCTGTACCACTGATTATTATCATCAATAATGCTAGAAGTCAAGAACTCAGACACAGAAAAATATCAAGAAAAATAGCATATGGTCCAAATTCAACTCACTTGGAATTAATTTGGATCATATATTATTTTTCTAAATATTTTTCTGTGTTTGAGTTCTTATTAGCATTACTTGATTATAATACATCTTGTAGTTTCAAAAGCTATTAGTATTTGGTCTTTCACCAAACTGAGTTATGTAAGAACTTCTGATCTTTGCTTGTGTGAATATTCTATCTTTCAGTAATGGTGTGAGAAGCAATTAAGCTGGTTTGTAAAAGAGGTTCCTTCTGTGGATGAGTCAGGTGTGATGTGAATATAAAATAGCATCTGCTACAAAAAAATTATTCCAAGTTGTTTGGTTCTTGTATTTTCTCTGTTATTTACAACTGATTTTTTATTTTTTGGACAATGTGCACTACATAAAATTGGAAAAGGGTAGGTATCTATTTATGCCCATTTTTTATGGGCCTTTCATCATGGGATTCACCTTTAGGGGTTGTTTGGGATGACCTAAATAAGTGCACTTTTTGTCTTTTTACGAAAAAATGTGCAGAAAAGTAGAGAGGTGATGTGATGGAAAAAAAGATAAAAAGATAAAAAGATAGGATATTTTTGAGTTACCAAACTTAGCCTTAATATCTGTGATTTGGGTGGAACTCACATAATCAAGAGTGGAGATGTGTTTGGCACATAAATCAAAAGTAGAAATGCGTTTATGGTATTGTCACGTTAATGTCACTAGTGACACTGAATAATTGCTTGGCTCTAAGGTTTATCTGAGTATTTCCTAAGCACAAGTTAAGCAATATGGTAAAGATTGTGTATAATGAAAGGAACCTGGTTAACTTGTGATAAACTTCAAGAATTTTGGTACTTTATGGGCTTCTAGAAAGGTCTTGTCTCTTGAAAAATATTTTGAATTAATTAAAGTATTTCTTAGTTGATGTTAAAATGGCAATGTAAAAATTAAATTTTAACACACCACAAGTGTTAAAATATTATAATTTGATTATCTTATTGTAATAGTTTGAAAGCCATTTTTATATTTTTCACAAAAGATTTAATAAAATGTTATTTATGAATTGCACTGTAAGAGATAGTAATAAACTATTGGGTTAAATTTTGGTAATACCGTAACTTGAAAACAACATGCTAGGACTCATCATGAGCAGAGACCACGCAATTATTAATGTATTTAGTTTATTGTCAAGGTTTAGGCTTGTTTTTTTAACACAAAAAAATAAAATAAAATAAAATTTATTGATTTATTTAGGTCATATCATTTTTTTATTTTTTTAATAAATTAAAAAATTTAAAAATAAGTCATACCCAAACCAATTTTAAAAAAAAGTTTGAAAATATGTTTATTGTTAAATATTAAGAATTTTTAAAAGCCTAACAAAATAAGATTTTGTTTTAATATTTTAAAGTAATTCTACACGTATTAACAATCTTATGAATGAAAAATATAAATGGCCAAATGTGATTAGTTGAAAAAATAAAATATTTAAACCTTCAATCAATGTGTTTGGTTTTAATTTTCTGAATTCAGTTTTTTAAAAATTGAGTTTTTTGTTTTCGAGTTTTTTTTTAGTGAATATTTTTTAAATTTTAAACAATTTTTTTACTGTACTTTACTTAGATGTATTTAAATAGTAAAATATTTGTGAAAAATATTCTAAAAAATTAATAAATACACAAAAATATAAAGAAATGTACTGAATTATGGTTTTTTTTTTTTGTTGTTGTTGTATTTTTGGTATTTAGAGAATTTTTAAAGATTTTTTTTTACAAATATTTTACTTTTTAAGTGTATTTATGTTAGGTGTGTCTAAAAATTAAAAAAATTACTTAAAATATTAAAAAAAATCATTAAAAATAAAAAATATATATACAGAAAATAAAATAGTAGAATTTTCTGAAAACAAAACCAAATAAGCTAGTATTCGGACATAAATATTGTAGAAAAATTATTAGTAAAATTTTAAGGAGCAATTTGGGACCTCGGTAAAAACCAAGTTTTTCCAAAAAAGTCACCAAAAAAACTAATTTTTTTGCTAAAAAAGTCACAAAAAAAATTAAAAAGTCAAAAAATTAACTTTTTACCAACTTCTCAAAACACTCCTAAGTAAATGTTTGGGATAAACTAATAAAGACAAAAAATTAAAAAGTTAAAAATCTTATACTATTTAAGGGTAGCTTGTGGGGGAAGTCACTAGAGCAAAATTATTATTTTGCCTTTCAAATTCAACTATCTAAAAAGTTAAAAAGTCAAAAAGGTGAAATAGTCATTTTGATTTTACTATAATATTTTATTACACATCTTTTCATAAAAAGTTAAAAAATTATTTAAAAATAAATCTTTTTATATTTTATTACACATCTTTTCATAAAAAGTTAAAAAATTATTTAAAAATAAATCTTTTTTCTTTATTTTTTAAAAAATCAAAAAATACACTTATATAATATATTCTAAACAACCACATAATATTACTTGTTAAAGATTCATTTGAGAAGTTGTTTGAGTTAAAATTTCGTTTGGATTGAATTTTTTTAATTTTTATAAAAAAAATAATTATAATTTAAATATATTATTTTATTTTATTAATTTTTTAATTTAAATTTTTTTTTTCTTATTTTAACTACCACCGTCGTTTTAGGCTCTGCGAAGGTTAATCACAAGCGGTATGATGGCTTTTTTTTGTTTCTAGAATAAACGTGTACTTATCCAGTGCAATCAACCCTTTTGAATTTTGATTCTGACTACGTGGAATGATAGAATTGCCAAATTGATGATTGACAAGAGGAAGAAGTAAACGAAGGTATATTCTGACAACCACTGGGCTGATGGTTCAATTGAGAAGGTATGTATCATTCATTACAAGCGTGATTCAGGTTTAATTTTTAAAGGGAGTGAAATATTGAATGATTTTAGTGCTTCTTTGTCGAGATCTTATTTTGTACTCTGATCAAGTTTTAGGAGTGTGTGGTTGAGTTTCACTAATACCTTGACTTTGTACTCCGAATGAATCTTAGACTTGTCTGTGGCGTGTGGTTAAGTTCTGGTGTCTCGATAATAGGTCTCTCCTAAAAGTAGGGTTAAATGAGGTTGACAATCAGTTATCCCACGACCTGGGCCCACGGATGCCGTGCTGATATTTCATAACATCATTTTTCTTTGATAAAAAAAAAATGATATATTTTGACAATAAAAAAATAATAATTTATTACTTTATTAATTTATTTAAGTTATATTATATTTTACATATATATATATATATATATTTTTTAAAAAAAAAGGTTAAAAAATTAACTTTTTTCTTACTTTCCAAACCAAAGTCAATTATGAAGAAAACACACTTTTGTGCACGATTAGTGGAAAAAAGAAAAAGAAAAAAAAAAAAAAAAAAAAGGGAAAAAGAAAAGGGATTTGCCTAAATTCAACATTTTTATAAGCTCCATTCAAAGTATGAGAAGAAAGGCTTATTTTGATAATTAGGGAAAAAATCAGTTTATTAATTTATTGATTTATTTGAGTCATATTATTTCTCTACTTTTTTATATGATTTTTTAAAAAAAAAACCAAAAATTTGATTTTTTTTTCTTACTTTCCAAAATAGGCCAAAAGGGGTTTATGAGGTTGTCAACCCCTATAAAATTATATTATCGTTTTGTATTTTAAGATATTTTTTTATTATTAACACATAAATATTCAACTAAATAAAAAAAAAAGAATTTTCCAATAAATTTATAGTATCACCATGTTATGTGGATGTGCTGTTTTTAGGGTGATACACTAATAAATCCCAAATTGAAAAATTATGAACTGTTTGGTCCTGAAAGTTTTCTTATAGACTGAAAGGTCTCATTTTATGTAAATTGACCGTTGAGGGCATATACATTGCGGGGGTGAGTTGGAACATTATTCGGCGAATTTGGTCAGTTCACATTGTGTGAGATTACAAAATTGGGACATTATTTCCCAGTAGTGTTGCACTATTATTTCTTTCTTAGGCAGTGGTGAAGTTGCAGAGATGTAAACATTCGGGGTGTCGATGTGAAAACGACGAACATCGAGGTATTTGGGAAAGGAAACCTACATTTCAAAGCGAAGAGGGCAGAAATAATTGGGGCAAGGTAACCGTAATTTGTGGGAACCCTAATGTGAATGTTCACAATTGTTGCCGTGGGTTTGAACATTGTAAACACATTTGGTGAAAGCTGTAACAACCCTCGTCACTGTTTATCGATTAACCACTGATTACTACTAAACTGAGACTGATTATGATTGGTAACTGAATTGATTGAAGTACTGAACTGACTGACTGAAATCTAGAACTGAATTGATTAAGTATATCTGTTCGATTGTATGTCTATCTGTTGACTGTTTGATTATCTGTTCATGCCTTTGTGTTCAAATTGCGAATTGAAGGCCTTATCGGCGGCCGAATCTGAAATTGATTGATGATTTGTGTTCATTGAAATTTATATGATTTTATGGTGTATTTATCTAAAATGTGATTTGGTATGATTAAATTGAATTAAAATGAGTTAAATTGCATGAGTTGACTTAATTACCATTTTGCCACCATTGAGTGGGCCACTTGGCCAACATACTTGAGCCTTGTTATACATGTAAACAAAACATTTCATCAGCCATTTCCCTTGTACTGCCGGCCAAGAGGGAGAGAGGGAGAGAAGTGAGTGTTCTTGAGAGTTGGCTTAGAGAACTTGAAGAATTGAAGGACAATTGTCTAATTAAGCTTCTAGTCTTGTGCCTCAAGACTTAGGTAAGGATTTCACCTTTTCATTGATGTATTTAAGGTTGTTCTTGTATGGTTCTTGAGCCTCTAGAGAGCTAAGTCATGTCTTAGTCTAATAATGTTGAATTGGAGCTCATTCTATGCATGCATGTTTGAATTGTTGAGTTGTGAGTTGATTTCATGGTAAAATGTTACATGCATGTTCATATTGTGTTTAAGTCCATGATTTCATCTTGTCTTTGAAAGAATTGGCTCATTAGAGCATGAAATTGAAGCTTTGAAATGGTTTAAATTCATGCATGTTATGTTTGAATTATGTTCATGAAAATTGGTTTCAAATTGAGTTGAATTGTTCTTCCTTTTGGGCCTTGATTTTACAAATTGAGCTTTGAATCATGTTATTCTATATGTTTACAAATGTTTTCTAGGGAAAAGGGCCCAAAGGAATTGGTTTTAATGCATTTGAACTTGGTTTGAGCTTGGAAGTTCAAATCTGGAAATTCCAGATTTTGAACTCGCGCTCGAGCGGGGTGACTGGCGCTCAAGCGTGAAATTCGTGCTCCCAGTACTTTGCACTGTTTTGAAGTCCGCTCGAACAGAATAATTGACACTCGAGCGGGACATTGTGTCTCATGCTCGAGCGGGTGTCGAGCGCCCAATCGAGCGTGATTTTCACCTATCTAGCACTTTTGACTGTTTTGCAGAACGCTCGAGCGGGTAAGTCTACGCTCGAGCGGAAACCTTTGTCTGCATGTCCGCTCGAGCGGAGTAACCTACGCTTGAGCGTGACCCCTGTTTTCTGAAAATGCTTTTAAAGTGCATCTTTGCATCCTCATCTCATCCTAGGCATTATTAGGCCTAGTTTAAGGCATCTTAATGAGGATATAGATGTAGAACACACCGAGGCAAATTAGAGATTAAGTTATTATCTTTCCCAACTGTGTAGCTTAGTGCGTGTTCAATCTGTAACTGTGCAAGGTTAGCGACTAGGGACGCGCTCTAGCTTTACTGTAGCCCAGAACTCTGTGAGTAACAACTGTGTAAAGATATGTTCAAAATGATTATCTTCTGAACAATTGAACTGTACTGCTTTCTGAACTGTTACTGTTAATTGAATGAATGTATGTCCTATATTATGAACTGTACTGTGGCATCCTTAGCAACTACTGTTTACTGTTACTGTTACAGAGATCTCTGTCGGTTCCCTTGTTGGAACCACTACTGTTACTGATTGATGGCCATCATTTTCTGTTCGGTCTTTTAAGACCTACTACTTACTGTACTGTTATGCTAATGGATGTACCACATATGACTGAATGACTGATTTACTGAATTAACGATCTGTTTTCATTACTATAAGGACATTCATTCTTAACCTCTTTACGCATTATGTTATTCACTGGGTTTTAGCTCACTGCTCATATATATATGTAGGTGTACAGGCACCAGACCGTGGCTAGAAGCGTCGGGGTTAAGCTCCAGTTTTGTCAAGCCAACCACTGTGCCTCACTGCGAGGTTCGAGCCTGTCAAGTTATGGCTCAGGGGTGTTTTTAACTTCCCCCGTCTGTCTCTGTATCTGTTTTGTATAATTGTATAGACTGTTACTGTACTGTTTAATAGGGATTAGGTCCCTGAACTAAATGATTGTATATATGTACATACTGTTCTGTACTGTTCATGTATATGTGTATGAAAGTCTTTTGGCATATAGACTGTCACAGCTCATTGGACATTGTTTATTTATTGTATTGGCTTTCGCTAGCCCCTGTACTCTGTATTCCTGTTTTACTGTTAAGCAGGCCTTTGGTAATTTCGGATTACTGGCCGGTTACGGTGCTAAACCCATAGGGGCGGGTTTGGGTCGTGACAAAAGCGCAGAGGGATTGTTGACATTGACATCGTAGTTGTATGCGTGAAGATGTATTATGGATTAAACGTCGATAGTTGGAGGCGTTAATTCTATAGACGTCTAAGCATGACAATGCGAAATGGAGGTATGTTTTGTGTTATATTTATGTTTTGATTTGCAAACTTGTTTGATTGATAGTAACAAAAATGGTTGGGGGTGATGTGTTGTTGTTTGGAACTGTATGTCGAAACGGAGGCAGGGTTTACAGTAATGAGTATGATGTTACTGTGTATGCTTGGGAAAGGGATACATGTGGAAGTTTGATGTTGGTGTTGAAAATTATTGATGTGTTTGTGTGTGTAGACTGTTAAGAGTTTTGTGTAAACGTTATTGGTACGATATTGGGAATGATTAACATATGTAAAGTGGTGTTTTGAAATGTGTTGAAGGCTGTGTTGTGAAATTTTAACTGAGTAACATTGAAATTGTTCAAGTGTACGTGTATTTGCAGACAATAATGTACATGGTAAGTCAATTAATATGTTCAAAATGAGTGTTGTGGAACGTACCGGTCAACGTGCGTGAGATTTAATCGTTGATGTTTTATATTTGGCGTTAATGGCGTGTACATGGAATTATATGGGTGGGGATGGGAAAATAGTTGTTTGGGTGTTGTAATAGTGAATCAGTTGAAAACATTTTCAGGAAACATATAAATTCCCCAACACCACGACTCACCTACCAAATCCCCATCCAACACACTGAATCCCCCATTTAGGAATAACGAATCACACAAAGGGTATTAATGTATATTCTAAAAGACTCAAAATCAACTCAACAAACATTACTAAACAAAAGGGACTAAATGGTGCATAAGAAAACTCTTAGGACTAAATGGTTCAACTTTCCACAAAGTAGGATTTATGGATAAATTTTCCATGCTGGTAATTATTAAGACGGTATGAAAAGAAAGGAATAGAACTTAAGGATTGTTTTAAGGAATTGGTTAAAAGTTAACCTTTTCATTTTTTTTGAAAAATATATGTAAAAAAAATAAAAAAGTGATGTGATCCAAAATAAGTTTTGATTTTTAGCTATTTGTCTGCAAAAATCCTAAATTATCTCTTATTTCAAGTTAAATCGAGTACATAATTTTTTTTTATTAATTTAGAGTTCCTCATTAACTTATTAAAGGTTGTTTGACATGTGTTAAATAAGTTATATATATTTTTATTAAAAAAAATTAAAAAGTTTAGTGAAAAAATTGAGAACAAATAAACTTTATATATATATACGACAATGCCACGTAACTCAAATTTTGTGGCTCAAAAGTGGCTCAAATGGCCAAAACGACGTCGTTTTGGCCATTTGAGTCATTTTTGAGTCACAAAATTTGAGCTACGAGACATTTTTCATATATATATATATTATCTATTGTGCTAAATAAGTTAAATTGATTGATGTTCTAAAACTGCCGAATAATTATCAAATTACAAATCAAAACATGTGAAATTCTCAAGTGAATAAATCTTTATACACTTTCCTTGAATTTCAAACAAAATATTAAAAAAATGGAATAAAGAATAAAGAAATCCGTCCATATATTTTATGCTTTTTATTTTATTTTATTTTTGTTTTCTCTCTAAAATTATCTTTTTCATTAAGATAGAGTGAGAAATAGAGGTAAAGACCAGTCCAGTGAATCAACTTCAAATTTGATTGGATAACTTAATAAATTTAAAATTATGTTTAAATTTAATTTATTTATATAATAAATTAATTTTAAATAATTTTTTAATGAATAATTTAACTTTTTTATAATATATGTAAATTTATCGAGTTAAGTAATAAATTATTTAAATTTAATTTAAAAACATACCGAACTTAAAATTAAATTTAAATTTAATTTATTTACCTAACAATTAAATATCAAATCAGTTTTTAACTAGAGTGGAGTCAAGCATGAATAATTTGGTTTGTTTAACACTCAAGTGAGAAGAAAATGTCCCACTAACGTGCGCCTCCACCATTGCTTGGCCGGCTAACACGCGCATCCCATCCCCATCCCTCTTTTTCCTTGTCAAAGAGCCACATAGCACCTGAAGCACACAACACCTCAACCTTTTTTTCTCTTCCTCCTCCAAATCAAGGCCCACTAACATGCGCCATCACCTCCTCTCCTCCTTTCTCACCATGGCCCCCTCCTCCTCTCTCTCCTCCTCTTCCTCTTCACTTTCTCTCTCTAAGCCCACCACCATCAACACCACCCTCCACCACCACCACCACCACAACAAAAAACCCTCCCACCACCATTCAAACCCTAACCCTAACTCCTCCCCCTCCTCCTCTTCCTCCACCAACCATTGCTCCTCTCTCCTCTGCAAACACTCTCCATCAGCAACCCTCGACATTCTCATCCTCATCCTCGTCCTCTTCTCCGGAACTTTTCTCATCACCTCCTACTTCTCCTACATCTTCCAGTCCCTCTCTCTCCTCCTCCCTCCTCTCTCTCACTCCTCCACCACCACCCTCCTCCTCCTCCTCGGCGACTCTCCGGTGATTTACCTAATTGGGTTTTTGCTCTTTTTCATTCTCGTCTTTGTTTTCTTCGAGATCTGTTGTGGGTACAGATCGAGGAAGTGCGAGAACCCTAGGTGTAAAGCGTTGAAGAAGGCGATGGAATTCGATTTGCAGCTGCAGACCGAGGAGTGTTTGAGATCGGCTGCGACGGCAGTGAGAGAGATCGATGAGCTGCCGTGGAAAGGAGGCAGTGAAGGGAACCCTGATTATGAGTGCTTGAGGGCTGAGCTGAGGAAGATGGCGCCGCCGAATGGGCGGGCGGTGCTGCTGTTTCGGGCCCCGTGTGGATGCCCAATTGCGAAGCTCGAGGGGTGGGGGGCGAAACGGGGGCGTCGGCACAAGAAGTGAGTTCAATTTTGATTGAATATGGGAAATTGTGGATGTTTGCATGTATGTTGAATTGATTTGATTAAATATATTGATTTCATGTCTTTAATTTAACTTGTTTTAGGCTAGTTTTCTACCTATTCTGCTTAAATTATTGACCCAAGAAGGATGAGAACTGGAAATACTTTACTTGGAATGCATGTTTGGTTTTGTTGGTAGGATTACTGCTGGATAATTGAATCTGGGTTTTGTATATAGTTGAGATGGAGTGAATTTATTGTAATTTTAGGGGTTTAATGTTTACGATTATGGCAGTTTGAGTTGATGCAACCACATGGTTGTTTATAGTGTTTTTCTGGTCTGTTTAATTGGTTGTTATAATGATCAATCCTAGAATCAGATCTTAATTTAATTGGGTATGATTGTCCAAAAACTGCGCATTATTGACTGATCTAGGAAACCTTTCACGGATACTTGCCTGCTCTCTTGGCAACTAGGCACTGACTAAGTAGTCCGTCGTGGGTAGCAAAAGCTTCCTTTTTTTTTCTTCTCCCCCTGCCCTCTCTCTATTTTCCCTTATGATGTTGTGACAAGATTTAAATCATGGATATACAATACACTACATTGTTCGTCACAATAAGGATATCAGACTTCTGTCAGAGTATGGTAGGTCCGTCCGAACAGTAATCAGTTATCTGAGTTGTGAAAATGGAAGTTGTTGATTGAGATAGCCAAGAGTAGGCATAACATTCCCAAAGTTGAAAAAGGTATTTATGTGTCCCTTTAACCATGCTTGGTTTGGGATGAATGAAGTGTTTGTGATCTGTGGGGTTGCATTTTATCAGTCGCACTGCAAGGTGGTTTCTGTAGGTTCGCTATGTTTGAAGGATACTTTGTCCTTTGTTTATTTATACAATGATTTTTTTGTTTCTTATAAAAAAATATTGTATGAGATTTTGTACAAATAGGCAAAATATTTAGACGACTCCTTCTAGAGATGTGAAGATAGTTGTTGCTATTATAAAACAAGAATCAATTTTCTTGGTCTTTGATTGGAAGCATAGGTTAAAACAAGGAGAAAAGTATCTCCAACTCTTCACCAATTTTTTCATCTAATTTGATTCTAAATTTTAAGTAAAAAGTTTGATTTGATATGACCTACTCCTTCATCAATTTTTATGAAAATATTTTTAAAAATTCAACTTTTCTCTCAAAGTTTCCTTTTCATCAAATTTGATGAAAAAATATCACCTTCAATGCTTCATCTTTTTAAATTTTCGTCAAATTCAAATTTGATGAGTTTCTGAATTGGATGGAAAAAAATAGCTCTCCCTTGATTTGATGAACATTTGATGAAATGATTGGAGATGATCTAAGAAGTACGGATACGGATACGGATGTGGATGCAGACATAGAAGTGGACACGGACACAAATGCGGACACCGGACACGGTGATTTTAAAAAAATGGGGATACAGACGCAGTGGGAATATGACAATAAAATATGTCTTTATATATTTTTATTTGCTATTTAGATTAATATTAAATCCACAAACAATTAATATTAACAAAATTAACTCTAATTTTATTTTATTTTTTTATAAAAAAAAAAACACTTTTAAGTTAACACTTACAGTTTATATATATATATATATATATTTATGGATGATCTATTAAGCATTTAAATATAAGGAAAAAAAAAATTCAATACTCATCAAAAGCACTAAATAAAATGGGAGAAAAGACAACTTAGCATGTCTCTAGTGTATTCTCTGTGTGTTCCCTAAAAATAAATTAATTAAATAATGAGACACGTCATGTGGTGTATCCCATACATATCCCCAAAATGTCCACGTGCCCCTGAAGTGTCGATATGTTCGACACGGATACGACACTTATTTTGAAGTATCGCTGCTTCATAGGAGATGATTTTTTAACACTTTTTCATTAAATTTAAAGGTGAGGGTTTGGAGATGCTTTAATAGCTAATATAGCTATGAGTTACAGTCTAATTGTTGTATTGGTTCCTTAGTAGTGGAGCTTAGGATTGGGGATGCTTTATAGCTGATATGGTTATGAGTTACCGTCCAATTATTGTATTGGTTCCTTAGCAGGGGAGCTTAGGATGCCTTGAACTCAATTGCATGATATAATGGATTGACCAATTTTTATAACCATCAATTAGACAATAAGGTATCGTAGTTATTGCTTTAAAGGATGGGCTTTATCTCACATTTTCCTTTCTCTTTCCAAATCTTTACCCGAACCTAGAATCTAAGCACACCCTTAGGTCTTGTTTGTCATAACCTAAAAAAATTAAAAAGCCAAAAAAGTTACTATCCTATTTAAGTCGCATCATCTTATTTAAGTCACATCACCTCTCTACCACATCACTTTAAACCCAACCCATGTTTCATAAAAGTCAAAAAGTGCACTTATTTAGATCATCCCAAACAACCCTTTAGTGATTGGAATCAACGTTGTTCATCACCTTTTCCTAGAATCAAAGTTGTCAGACCCTTTGGTCTTGTAGTGATCCGACATCAGTCAATTCTTGATCACCACCACTGTCTTCTCCTCCCTCCCTCTCTCTCTCTCTCTCTCTCTCTCTCTTTCATCGTCTTACCCCTTGCTCTATTCTTCACTTTTCAATTGTTGCCAAAACTGGCTTTGTTGAGGGAATAGTATGTTTGTGTGAAGATGGTGTTGTTGTGTATTGGTTCTGGAATAGAGGAGAGAGAGTTGGAGTGGTGGTAATGGTTGTTATGGATGGTGGTGGAACTGGAATGGGGGTTTGGATGGCTGTGATGGTGGCTGGGATTAATGGCTATGGCTGAGAGGGAGCCATCAGGTGGTTGGAATTATGTTGCAGTGGCTATGGATGTTGTGCGGTGATAGGATTTGAGAGAGAGAGAGAGAGAGAGAGATGTGAGTGGCTGACAGAGAGCCTGATGGTGGGGATGGGGTGAGTTTGGAAAAGTTGATAAGGGGGAAGAAAGTGACAGAAAAAAGAGGTTCATGGAGAGAGAGAGAGAGAGAGAGAGAGAGAGAGAGAGAGTAAATCTCTATCAAGTTATCAGTGTCATTTTCTCCAATATTTTCCTCATGTTTTGGTAAGTTGGTGAGCTTTCATATTCTTGTAAATGCACTTGTGGCTTGGGTTGTTTTTTTACTTTTTATTTATTTACGAGCCAATGCTCACTTTAATTTTGAAGGTGTTTTTCTTGGAAGACATGCGTGAGTAATTTTTTCTATACATGGGTTGCCAAGGAAAATAGTGCATGGTCTATTATTGTGTGAACCCTGTTGGGTATCAGAATATGTCAGCCATTAGGCAGTACATTCGATCAAATGCACTGCAATGGTTCTTTAGAGTGATGAGTTAAAGCTGTTGGGGCCTAGGTGCCCAAACCATGGAGTGGGAGCGTGAACATGAGATTGCCGATTCTGTAAAATAGCGTGAAACTGGTTGTTTGAAAATTTATATGCAATGCATAAAGTGAAAAGAAGCATCACACTCAGCAGTGATCCTTCCTAACCTAGTAGTTGGCAACCCCTCTTGCTTTAGATTGGTTATGTTTTGGAGTCCTCTTGCCTTTATCTTTATAGAATTTTGGTTAATCTCTGGTCGTTTCCAGATTCACATTGAATGGAAGATATAGTTGATCAGATGTATGCATCCCTACCTAACTTAGCCATAACTCCAATGAAAAACCATGAAATGTATGAAAAACCATCACTCGAATTGCATTTTGCAGGTTGGCCACAAATTTGTTCCTCGTCCACAAATCTAAAGGATTTGTGGCCCAACCTTAGCAGATTAGGACAAACAGGTTGGGACTGGGGTTTACTGTGGCAATTATTTTATTTTATTTAGCTTTTTGCAAATGGTGACTATGGAAAACATGATGCATTTGGGTTAATTGGTAAAATCACACTGAATCAAATTAATGAGGCGACTTGTGGATTCATTATTCACCCGTAAATGATCAAGTGAAAATTCAACATCTGGCCAGATTTTATTGGCTAAATAATTGAGGAGGTTGGTTCATGCTGTTTTTGTGCAACATTGATTGATTGTGTTATATACTGGCAGAGTTGCTAATAGTGAGTTTCGACGGACCATGACATCCTATTGGTAATACCAGTGATTATTAGGCCATGTTACTAGAACTACCCTTAAGATGTTAAACATTTTGTTGCCATGTTCACAATCTGCTTAGTTATTGTACAACAATTGTCTTTTGAAATCTATAGGCATCATGTAGTTTAATGATTTTGCTTATCTGTTGACAATGACCATTTCTTTCAATGCATTGTTTCCCGGTTTAGAGTAGTTTAGTATATAAAATTATCAACTAAAAATGAAATGAAAAGGAAAATGAGTTTTGGCATTACATGTGTGTGTGTGTGTGTGAAAGAGTTTTATGGAACAAGGGAACTTCTCCCATTTAGGACCCTTGTTGTGGCTTAATTCTATTCGATTCCTTGAATTATATTGGACATTATTCTGATACGTTTGTTGGGTTTGCTAGTGAAAAATACCCCTCATGCCTGCCATTGACTATACATGGTCTATGTTACACGGACTCTTCAAAATAAATAAAATACCTGCGTTAGACACATGATACTTAGATAAGGGTATGTGATATGTGTCGAATATTTCTCATATATTTTTATTTAAAACTATTATTATATGTACATATTGTTATATAATTGCTACACGTCTTTTTGACATTGTATGATACAAATCACACTATTTTAGCTCAAATAATAGATTAAAATAATAAAAATATGACTATTTTTTGCCAAGTCTGTGTACTTTTAAATTTAAAATTTGATGAGCATGACCTTTAGATACACACCCGCACCCGCACCCACAACCGACACCTGGCACCCAACACTTGTACCTGAGTCCATGTAACATAGTACATTCTTCCTGGAGAATCTTACCTGACCAATATTTTAGTTGTGTATTCTAACAAATGCTTGTGTGGACCTTACCAATATGTGAATTAGCTTTTAAGTTATATAAGCAATCAAACAGTGTTTGGTGCGTAAATTGTTTCCTAAAGACCTTGGTGTCCATTTGCGCTGTCAATATGCTTTCTTGGGATTATATTCTGTGCATAGTACATGGATGAATTTATCCTATTAGCAAGTAACATTAATATTATCAAATTCTTTTATTTTCATTGCATGATTGTAACATTTCAATTGTGTTCTTATCCACAGGGGTCTGGCTCCACATGGGGGAGGTGATCATCGCTGAATTGTTGGGGATCTCATACATATGTTTCTCCTTTTACTGTCTCATTTACCTTTCAATTTCATGACGTTCTTTCTTCTGGAAAACTTATAATCTTAATCAGAACAATTCTTTTGATCTTACAGATACCAGTTTAGATCCTTGAACTTTGTCTAAAACAACTGTCCTTGTATCACATTTTATCATTATCGGACATTCTCTCTCTTTTCTGGGAGGATATACCAGACTAGTTGCAAATAAATATATGAATTAGCAAATTGGATGTTGTTATAAATTTTAGCTTCATACGCACCCAGGCTTGATCTAATCCGAGTCTGCACTGGAATAACGCCACCAGTGCCCATATATTTTTTTCCTCTATATATTTTTAGGTGCTACCATCATATATATAACATTTTATGGTTTGAACTTTGAATCATATTCTTCCCACAGATCTCAAATACAGAATTTCTTGTTTAATGGCAGTTATTTGTTTGGTGTATGGGACTAAATTCTAATGCTGAAAATATTTTCAGTTGTCATGAAAAAGGAGTAAACTTTGACAGAATGTTTTTTACGAAGTAAAAAACGTTTTCCCAAACAAGACAACCATCATCTCCCACTACCACCACGCAACCGTTAACACTGCAACTATGACAACTGCTGCTGCAGCCACCGTGGTCACCACTACAACCATAGTGCCACCATCATGCCCACGGTTGTTGTTGCCCCCACCACTGCCATTTTACCCACCACTTCACCTTTACCTCAATGAAACAAAACCATTCACACCTGTTGGTCACGATCAAATGCAATTTTTTTTATTTATTATTTATTTTATTTTTTTTTGCAGAAAGTGTGCTTAAAAGAAAAAAAAAAAATTGGAAAAAAAATTACAATAATGATAGGGATCATGAAAAATATAATTTTTCATCCTTTGATTAGTGTGTGATATTTTATTGTATGGATAATCTAAAGGTAGAGAATCTTTTATGATCATCATTATGATATTTTTTTCATGATTCTTAACCTTAATAAAAAACCATTCAAAACGAACAAAGACATACCATGTTTAGAGGGAAATAATTTTCGTATTATCTTGTCAACTTCAATTATAGTCATTGATGACCAGCTAATAGCTATATGAGAAAAGGTGCCACTCATAGTCTCATTTTGTCAGGATTTACTAACTCAAAAAGGTACAAAAAAATGTTTCAAGTCTTTACTTTTTAATTTTTTTGTGACTCCAATTTGTATTTTTCATGTAGAAATCACATCTCCGACTTTTATACAATTTATAGAATTCACCATGCAATTGAGATTTTACTGTCAAGGGTATAATAATCGACGACTCTCTCCACCAAATTTGCCTCTGGCCGGCATTTTTGTTGCCGCGTTTCCACTGCTTGCGTTTTGAAGGTTTACTTTATTTTATTTTTTTGCTTTTTTTTTGTTTTCTATTTTTAGTATTTGGTTGTGTGGTTAGGTTTTTATCGGTAGTTCGATTGTTGTTTATCCCCTTAGCATATGTAGTTTATGTATTTATCTCAAACTTGTCCTATTGTCAAACTCTTTTGATTGACGTCTACTTCATAGTACGGGCTTTACATCTTGATATATTCATAATTTTTCCTTAATGCTTTTTTTTTGAGATTTTTTTTCTTTGTTTGATGTGAACTTTTATTTTGTTAGAATGAATTTCGTGTCATTTGGCATTCTTACCTTAATGACAATTTGTATTGATAAAAAAAAAAAAAATGTGATTGGAATAAAAATGTGATTATTTTGAAAAATGGAATAATTACAAATTTTTAATTTTTTTTATATAAAAAAAAAAACTAATTTAAATGAGAAAATTATTAAAAAATCCCATTTGAGAGAGTTTTAGTCTAAGGAAATCCTCATTTTCTTTTAATACACTGGTAAGTCCTCTTTTTTTTTTTGGCAATATGATCCGTAACATCCCATTTGTTATTTGTGGAGTGGATTTAGTGACTTTTTACCCCTTTCTTCGTGGGTGAAATGTTTTGGAGAATTTTTTAAGGAGTCGTTTGATTTTGGCTTTTTTAGTTGGCTTTTTGATTTTTTTGACCTTTTTAGCTTGAGACTTTTTTAGTCGTTTGGTATTCTTGTTTGGCTTTTTTGACTTTTTTAACTTTAGAATGACAAAATTGCCCTTAGTATAGAATGGTGTTTTTTTGACTTTTTATTTGTATATGGGGTAGTTTAATACTTTGGTAATTTTTTTATCTTTTTGTAATTTTGTAACTTTTTTTTAACCTTTTATGATTATATAGTCTAGAAAGAAAACCAAACCAAGGCTAAATTCCATTGATTAGGTTAGACTCGATATTATTGTTCAGATCATAATGATGTGGACAAAGCCACCTAACTTGACCACACTTGCCTCCAAAAAACACACATCAAAAAAATAAAATAAAATCCAACTTCGTCCAAAATCTCATCCATCCACACTCCCACATCCCACACACAGGTGGGCACAATGTGACACATGAATATCCATGAAATAATACACAAATTACCAAACATATAACAAACATTTACACAGCCATCAAAACCAATCATGTAAGGGAAAAACAACCATGGAGGTCGACTAATGTGACACCATTGGTACACAAACAATAACACACTCAATATGAAGCAAAATCAAAATAAACAAGACAAATCAAAGCCACCATTTAATCACAATATACAAATTGAAATATACAACACAAACCCTAAACACACGTGGATGACTTCGAAATATTGAATCCTATAGTTGTGGTCACCACACTAAGGTGCAACGTCGACAACAGAAACCCCAATCAGAGTTTACGAAAATAGTGACCCAATCGAATGTAGAACACCCAAATAAGAACAATGACACATTGCTCCGATGACAACAATGATACATTGTGAATTTCATGGGATTCAAGGGGGATTTTTGTGCTTTTTTTTTTTTTTTTTTTTTTTTTTTTTTTTTTTTTTTCTTTTTTTTGATGTGGGATTGATTTGTTTCTTCAAGTACATTGCATAATATGTGATCCAATGACGACAAAATCGCGATACGACACGATTTACACAAACCATAAACCCACGCGAATGATTTCAGAATATTGAATCTCGTAGATGTGGTCAGCACATAAAGATGTAACGTCCACGGTGAAAATCCTTGTTCAGAAACCCTCTCCGGCAAACACACTGAATCAAAGACGCTGGTCGGAATCCTCACTCTCTTTGGGAGCTAAACTGTTTGACAGAATCCCCAAATGAGAATGAAGAAAATGTTGCTCCGATGAAAACCCAATCAACAAACTCACAAAATTAGTGGTGTGTGCTTGGAATTTTTTATTTTGGGGGTTCAAACGTTTGGATTGGATTTGAATGTGGTCTATCGAAATCCTCAATTTTGGAAGGCTGAATGTTTGGGTTGGTTCCGAACGTGGGCAACTATACCGAGTGTTGAAATCTTCAATTTTGGAAGGCTGAAACGTTGTGGTTGGTTTCGAGTGTGGGCTACCATACCAAGTGTGGTAAACTCAAAAAAATTCTATAGAACGCCTTTTCCAAACGTATCATAAACAGAAATTAGAGTAATAAAATATTTCAATTATAACACCACCCACAAATGGGCAAAACCGTCACCCCACGTCAAATGGGACTTCTATGTGCTTGTTTGAAAAATGAGTTTTTATGTAAATTTTTTTAGTTATAGGATATTATTGAAGAAATTTTTTTTGATATTTGGAAAGATAGTTGGATTTTTTTGTGGTTGGATGTAATGTTTGTGAGAGAAAAAGTAAAATGATTATAGAATTGGACGTGATATTTTGTTTGAATTTATTTTTTTTTAATTTTACAAAAAGTTTATCGTTTAGTAGAAAAAATAAAAAAAAAACCCAAGACACAAACTCCCCAAACACCACCTATGTGTATAAAATAAAACATGGGATTGACATTAGTTTACAATTCCTCTTCTAGGATTTATAGGTCCGTTTCCCTTTTTAAATGATGGTTCCTCCAATTATCCTTTGAATTTACACATTAGATAAACTCGCAATGTGCAATTAAATTAAAATTATTTATGTTTCTTTCCCTCCAAAATTCGTTTGTTGTGAACCTCAAATTCCAATCCTCGTAACGGGTCTCATGATATCGTCTCATGAACATTGCTATCAGATCCAAATCACTCTTTCGCTTCTCAACAACCTCATTCCCATCAATTTCACTCCAAAATCCCAAATGGGTTTCCACTGCAACACCCAAATCTCCTCCACAACACCCTGAGAACCACCTCCGACCCTTCTTCAATGGCCAAAAGACCCAGAAACCCCGCGATTACGAGCTCGCAATCGTATCGACTCTCAAATCTTGCTCAACCCTTTTAGCCATCTCTCAAGGCCAGCAAGTTCATGCTCTTGTCTTGAAATCTGGCCTAAACTCCAATATGTTCATTCAAAACAGCTTGATCAATATGTATGCGAAATTCGGGTTCTTGACTGATGCTCAGTACATGTTTGATTCTTGTCCTGTGTTGGATTCTGTGTCTTGTAATATTATGATTGTTGGGTATGTGAAATTTGGCCGCCTCGATGATGCCCGTAAACTGTTTGATGTAATGCCTTGCAAAGGGTGTGTTTCATATACGAGTATGATCATTGGTTTGGCCCAAAATGATTGTTGGAGTGAAGCAATTGGGGTTTTTAGGGATTTGATGTTTGAGGTTGTGATGCCGAATGAGGTGACGATGTCGAGTGTAATCTCTGCGTATTCGCATTTGGGTGGGATTTGGGACTGTCGAATGCTTCATGGATTGGTGAAGAAACTTGGGCTTGAAGTGTTTGTTCTTGTTTCGACTAACTTGGTGCACATGTATTGTGTTTGTTCGAGTTTGTGGGATGCGAGGGCGTTGTTTGATGAAATGGCTGAACCAAATGTAGTTTCATGGAATGTAATGATGAATGGATATTCTAAGGCGGGATTTGTTGATTTGGCGCGAGATTTGTTTGATAGGATTTCCACAAGAGATGTGGTTTGTTGGGGTACTATAATTGACGGGTATGTTAGAGCAGGAAGGTTGGATGAAGCTTTTACTTTGTATCGTGCTATGCTACGTACTGGTTTGGGTCCGAATGATGTTATGATTGTGGATTTGATATCGGCTTGTGGAAAGTTGATGGCATTTGGTGAGGGTCAACAATTTCATGGGATAACTATAAAAACGGGCTTTGATTGCTACGACTTTATGCAGGCGACGATCATCCATTTTTATGCAGCTTGCCACAGAGTGGAATTCGCTTGGTTGCAATTTGAATTAAGCAGCAAGGACCATGTCCCATCTTGGAATGCACTCATTGCAGGCCTTGTAAGAAACAGAATGATTGATCTGGCGAGACAATTATTCAATGACATGCCTGAAAGAGATGTTGTTTCGTGGAGCTCCATGATTTCCGGTTACTCACAGAGCAAGCAGCCTAATCTTGCTTTAGAACTCTTTCATGAAATGGTAGCTTGCAATGTCAAGCCAAATGAAATCACAATGGTGTGTGTCCTCTCTGCAATTGCTACTCTGGGCATATTGAAAGAGGGAAGATGGGCACATGAATACATACGGAATAACTCAATCCCTCTCAATGACAATCTAAATGCAGCAATCATAGACATGTATGCCAAATGTGGGAGCATTAAGACCGCCCTAGAAGTGTTCCATCAAATCCGAGACAAATCCTTTTCTGTCTCACCATGGAACGCGATTATTGGTGGATTGGCAATGCACGGACACGCAGAGTTGTCTCTTAAAATCTTTTCTGACTTGCAAAACCGAAACATCAAACTCAACGCGATCACATTCACAGGGGTCTTGTGTGCTTGTTGCCATGCTGGTCTTGTGGAAGCAGGGAAGCAACATTTTCAGAGCATGAAGAGATTGTATGATGTAGAACCAACCATCAAGCATTATGGTTGTATGGTCGATCTTTTAGGCAGAGCCGGCAGATTAGAAGAAGCTGAAGAATTAATTAGGAGTATGCCCATGAAAGCTGATGTCGTGATATGGGGGACATTGTTGGCAGCATGTCGAACACATGGCAATGCGGAAATAGGGGTACGGGCAGCAGAGAGTTTGGCAAGGGTGGAACCATCGCACGGTGGAGGGAGAGTTCTACTGTCCAATATTTATGCAGATGCTGGGAGGTGGGAAGATGCATTTTTAGTGAGACAAGCTATGAAAAGCCAGAGAATGACGCGGTCACTAGGGTACAGTGGTGTCGTATGATTCTTAAAAACAGGTCCAATATCACCATAGCAGTTGTGTTTTGTATCACACTTCAAAGTTTGCGCAATGCCAAAATTGACATTTTTTTGAAGAAAACACAAGACTTCTGCAATATGTTAGTTCTATTTCACTGTGCAGAGTCCATAATTCTCATGCAAATACTAAACTATGGGTGCAAAGTCTTGAACATTGTTGATTACTATTAGGAGGATATGTTTTGATGATAGAAATCTTGATTTTTTATAATGCATATGAACTTATCGAATAGCTTAATTCATTTTACAACCTTATCTATGCCCGATTTGCGACTAGACCCCACATTACATCAACTGAGGAGCCCATTTGTACAGAGCTTTTGATTCCCTAAAGTGAGAAATTTTCCTATATGAAATCTAATGTACAACTACATCCTAAATTACAATCACCAACCTACAAAAAATTTTGGCAAGAAAAACTAAAAGAATAATGAATATGAACTATATTTCACTTTCGATGATCAGTTCAGCAGCTGCAGGCATTGTACCAACGCACCAACCCCGAGCAAAGAGAGTGCAAGCTCCTCCTCATTCCATTGCCTAAGCCCTTTGCTCAGTCTCTTTAACACCTCCACATCAACTTCCAACACCCAATTAGGTGTGCAAGCAACCATCAGGCTCAGAAACCCGGACACATAAGCACGCCAAGCGGCCCAATTACAACCAAGTGAGATCTTCCCATCAAGGGCACTTGCTAGAAATTCCATGTGCGGTCCAAGAATCTTTGGACGCTGCTTTGATGCCAACGAGGATGAGTCCACCCCCCAAGCAAAAGCTCCATAGGAAGTAGCAATTGCAGCATTTCAAACTAAGAAAAATGTCAGGTTATTATTTTCCTTGTTGTCTTCTAGTACTTTGCAACCAAAAAATGAAGATAATAAGAGTAGTAAAAGTTACAATGATCCATATTGCATCTGGATTCATTTTCTGTCAAGTATAAAGCTTAAAAAATTTAAGTGACTTTTATTCTTTTTTTTATCAGCAAAAATATAAGTGACTTTCCTAGTGATTCTTTTGGCCTGAACATGAACTTTCTGAACTGAATTTGTAGCCTAGTTTTGGTAGCCTAACTTCACTAAATATTTTTATTATTCAGTCCTTCCCTGAAATTCATTGTATCCCTTTTCTTTTTCTATTATTATTATTATTATTATTTTTTTTTGGGGGGGCAAATCTTCAGGCAATGTGTTCAGAATTTGTGCTCAACTCAACCCAGGCATTTCATTCCAAATTAAATGAGCTGACCCCTGCATTTTGGAAAAACTGATGATTTTTCAAATTTGTTCAATGCTTCTCAATTGATTCTGGAGCACATCAAGCTCCAAATTTCCTTTCCCTTTTCATTTTCATTTTTTTTTTTCACAATATTTGCTACTAGATCTGAAATCTTGAGAAAGTGATGGACTCAAACTCCATCTATCACTTCTTGAACAGACTGCTGAGGAGGCTATGATGCCCACTGAGTCAACATTTTCCTTGGATGTGAACTCAAAATTGGATTGGTTAGTGTTTCTCCTTGATATTGTTGTCGCGTTCCTTTGTCGTAAGTTCATGATTTCAGTAGAAGTGAATTCTAGTACAGATGCATATTACATTTTTAATATTTTTCGAACTAATATTTCACGGAAGCAATGGGAAAAGTTCTTGCTCGAGGTCATAGTCGAGTTCCTGTTTATTCTGGAAATCCAAAAAATATTATTGGACTTTTACTGGTGGCTTTTGTAACCTAAAACTATCAGTAAGTTTCATTTGTCAAGTACTTTTTTCATATATTTTGAAATCAGGTGAAGAGTCTTCTTACCTAAGAAGCACGGACACGGACACGTGACACGACACGAATACGACACGGACACGCCGACACGTTAATTTTAAAAAAATGCAGGACACGACACGTGGAGGACACGCATGAAATATATAATTTTATATATTTATCATATATTATATATATGAATATATCATTCAAAGATAATAAAAAATGCAATATAACACTATTTCCTATAAATTTATATGGTTTTTGTTTTATTATTGTATCTTAAGTCGTTTTGTTCAAACTTATAATTAGTTTCACATATGTATAATCAATAGACCCATGTGTTTAACAATTGACACGTGTGTCCTCTAAGTGTCCAAAGAGCGTCCGGGTCTTTAAAAATATTTAAAAAATAGGACACGTTTTGAAGAGTATCGGACACGTGTCCTAAGAGTGTCCAAAGAGTGTCGGTGTCCGACACGGACACGACACGAATACGTCACCTTCTTAGAAGTGTCCGTGCTTCTTAGCTTCTTACGGTATGACCGGAAACAGAGACCCTTGTCAGTGCTGTTTCCATTCGAAGGATTCCACGGTGTGCTTTATTCATCCTTACACATGCTTTTGTATGCTTTTCCAGAACTTAAGCATTGAAACTGACACGTTCATATGCGGAATGTTTTTTGAAATCAGGTGAAGAGTCTTCTTACGGTATGACCGGAAACAGAGACCCTTGTCAGTGCTGTTTCCATTCGAAGGATTCCACGGTGTGCTTTATTCATCCTTACACATGCTTTTGTATGCTTTTCCAGAACTTAAGCATTGAAACTGACACGTTCATATGCGGAATGTTTTCTCTAGGGTTCTTGCTGATATGCCTCTATATGACATATTGAATGAGTTTCAAAAGGGTGGCAGTCATCTGGCAGCTGTGGTGAGGGCTAAAGGGAAAAATAAAATCTCCCCATCAACTGTTATTAAAGAAAAAGCTGAAGAGAACAAAGTTGCTACCAGGGACTCTCAATTAACTACTCCTTTGCTATCCAAGCAAGATCAGAAGCCAGCAAGCGTTGTTGTTGACATTGAGAAGGCTCCAAAGCCTCCCATTGGAAATAGGCATACGACTTTTCACCATAATGATGCATCAACAAATGGACTGCCTCATATGTCGGAAGATATTGAAGATGGTGAGGTAATTGGGATCATCACCTTGGAAGATGTCTTTGAAGAACTTCTGCAGCAAATTATCATAGTCCAATGAATCATCACTTCCTCTCATGTGCAGTAGTGGATCAAGGATCAAGCAGTAGGCAATTTAGGTGCTCGCCTATGGCCCCGAGTATATGAGGGTCCCCACTTATTATAATTTTACTATATAGTGTATATAAAAGAAACCAAATAATTCTTGGAAACCAAAGGCCAAAGTTATAATAATAGATACATTTATTTAATTTTTTTAGTATGTTGTGTTTTTATTTTCCATAAAAGTAAGAAGTTTTACATGATTTGATTTATTGATTGTCAAAATTATTTTGATTGTGAGGGATATTGAGTAATTTAGATCAAACATATAAATAAAAGTTAGAATAAATAAAATTGTTTTAATTGTGAATGTTATGAATTTTAAATAAAAATTATATAATCACACAAATAAAAATTACAGTGTAAAAATTATAAAAGCTCTAATTAAAAAATTTTGCCCAATGCCTCTGATAAGCTTGAGCTGCCTCTGCTCACGTGTGGCTTCTTGAGTTAACAGTGAAGTGAATGGTGATGGTTTTTTCACAAATGCAGGAGGAGATTGTAGACGAAATGGATGAATTTGTTGATGTACACAAAAGTTATTTTAACCTTTGAGGATTTAATATGAATTTAGGCAGTTTCTGAAAATATAAGTAAAGAATCACGAGACATTGTTTATATGTTGCAGGATACGTGTGGCTGCAGCTGCGGCTGCTTCATCAATGGCACGTATCCCATCAATTCGGAGGTTAACTGGCCATAAGGGACCGGTAAGTGGATTATGTTATGAGTTCTTTTATTTGATCTCCCTTGTGCAGTTCTTTATCGTCATATAAAATGTGATACATGTTAGTGTTGAAAATTGAAACTCTATGGGGGAGTTTCTATATGGTAGTGTAAAATGTGGATTTCAGAACTTAATTTGTCCCAGCGGGATGAAACTAAGGTGTCATTTGGTACAAGAAAGTAAATCCAGATGGTATGTAGGATCACAAGAACATCAACACCTAAAAAAAGAAGTAAGAAGCAATTCCAAAGTTAGACCAAACAATGATATCTTGATTCTATGGAATTTCAAATCCAAATATTTAAAAGTCAATTCCAATCTTGTGCAACCAAATGCACTCTTAGGCTGTGTTTGGATCTTGAATTTGGGTAGGAATTTATGGAGGGAAAAGAGATGGAAATAAATTTTACATTATATTTCATTCACATTTTCCGTCTCTTTTCTTTTCCCTTCACAAAACCCTATTCAAATCTAAGATTCAAACACAACCTCAATAATTTATTTTAGTGTCTAAACAGTTTTCTGAATGGATCAGCAATTTTTCAGACTGGAGGATATCCTTGTTGGGATTGCGTATTAATTGGTTTAGAAATTGTAAATAAAGATAGTGACATTATTAGGTGTGGAATGTTATAACTAATAGGGCAGGAGTAAAAGTTAAAAATGTAAGCCCGTTATTGCAATGTCTGGAAAAGTTTATAGCTAAGTTGTTGGGATTCAATTATCAAATGAACAAGCATATATGCCATTAGAAAAATCAACAAATTTTGGGATTTAATTCAGCTTTTCACTCTTGTGAGTTCCATGTAAGTAAAATCAACAAATGTAGTGTGATTAAACATAAATAAATTTCCAAAGAATGAATTTTTTTTTGTAAAGTTTCCTGATTGGTTTTTTTTTTTTCCCTCTCCCCATACCTTCTCTCAAATGAAATTTGTTTCAATAATGTCAACTAGTTCTAGTAGCTGAATACTGTTTTGTTTCAAATAATAAATTTCCCAGGGAGGCCAAAGTAAGCATGGACTAACCACCCCAAAGAAGTCTGCGGAGGAAAGATAGAAGTCCAACCAGGTTTGTAGAGAATCTTTGTGAGCCTTTTCTTGATAACAAGAGATGAATATGCAATACAGTTTAATTTATAATACATTGGTTCCAATGAACCTGAGGAGAGTTTTACTTCTTTTATGTGGCAAAAATGAAATAAAGCTTGTACTATATGTTGTAAATTTTGGAATTTTGTTGAGCAATTTATCTATTCACATTGTCTCTCAGCATAAATCTCGGGTGCTCAAGCTTCTCCTTGCCTAAGTGCATGCACACACTGTTGTTATATTGATCAAATGTTGAATAAATTTACTCATCGATGTTGCTGAAATCGTCTTCTTGATCTTGGTTTGCATGAACTAGAGGGCATAAAACCTTGTGTGAGAAATAGATCAAAGAAAAATATTGAGAGAGAGAGAGAGAGAGAGAGAGAGAGAGATTTGTCCAAATCCGAAGGTATCGTATTTACATTATTTTCGATGATATACATTAATCTTAAACATCTTCTGATGAACCTCAGTGACATCTGACACTTGTTGCTAAATGTGTATTTCGTACTAGGGATTTGTTTTCACAATAAGAACAATAATTGAGATGTAAAAAAAAATCACATACGAGAAAGGGATCGACCTTAGTTACCACTTTCCAACATTTATAAACCCTATTTATATCAGCTAAAAATTCGAATGCTGCACCACTAGCCTATATTAAACACTTAGAACTGAAAATTATCATACCCAACTCTAACAAAATATATTCATTCCAACGAAGAAGAATCACTGTGCACCTCCATATGATATAGACGCGTGCTCTCAGCTCCCGTATATACCTCAAGCATCATTTCCATGACCAGAACTTTCTGATTCATGTAGAGAGCGAGTGTCCGGCCATGTTCAATGTGGTTGTGCTGTTGTATTGCTATAGGAAGGCACATAGGATCACTAGTCTTATAAATACAGAGAAAGAGGAGGGTGAGGTTTTATGTGAGAGAGAGAGAGAGAGAGAGAGAGAGAGAGAACATGAGGTGGGTGACAGATGTTGGACCCTGATTGGGGGGATCTGGGGACAGCATGACTTGGTCCCACAGTTTGTTAAAGATGACTAGGCATACACATCAGCTTTGTCTGCCTACCAAACTCCCATGGTGAGAGACTTAAAAAGTTGTTAAAATTATCACATTGTAGAAGGCCACCCTTGTCTCTTAGAGGCCTGTGTTTTGTCCCACTGTGTGGAAGATAGCAAACTAACCCCCCCTGAATTTCACGGTGGGTGCTTTGGACTCTATGGTTAAATATCAAAGTTCAATGCCATTGGGGTTTACATTGGCATAGAACAGGTTTACACGTTCAATGCCACAAAAACATGTTGGATGCATTTGGAGGATGAGAAAAATTTGCTTGTTAAATTTCAAGCTTCATTCGTGTTTTTAGTGAAACATGGGGAGAAAGAAAGATTGGAGAGACATTATGATGTGAGGTATAAGAGTAATTCTACAAATAAAAAATCGTTAAAAAAACTTACAGTAGAAAGTACAAGTGGCCATACACATAGGATGATGGTGGGGCCCTGCCATTGCTCAACACATGGTGGGACCCCGCTGTCTGACATGGTCACCTATTTTTGTAAGGTTGGTTATGTTACGGTTGCACAATGTGAATTTAGAAAAAGCAAGCTTAATGCTAACCATACTAGGAAATCATACTACACGCTTTAGTTATATAAAATCACAACACAAAAAACCAATTGTCATTTGTTGCATTTTATGTCATTTGTTGCATTTTATGCCATTTGTGAAATTCAATACAAACCCTACATGAATGCAAAGTAGGGTTATATATATATATTATTTTTGCTAACGGGGTGTTTGAGGTTTCTCTCCAACTAATTCTTCAATACATGCAGTCCCCCCATTCCACATATACAAAGTAATTACCGGGTCCAAGCCCTAAGGGTAATCTTATGGGGAGTGAGGAATAAAATTTTACAATTAGTCTAACCCTTGAGATTTGAACCTAAGACTTATTGAAGAGAAGGGTTATAAACTGAAAGTGAGGACTTCCAAATATGTCACTTTTTTGTAGTTGTTCATCACCCTTCTGTAATTGTCCATCCCTTACTTGCGAAGAGTCACTATTATATAAACTATTTGCTATGCATGAGTAAATACTCTGTTACCAATATAAATATTCAACTAACCAACAAGAAGAGAAAGTAAGATTAATAATAATAATAATATGCATACCTTTTTTTATGAAATTTTTCATTAATGGTATCTAGACAAATCCTTTGTGCTTCTAAATGCTAAATGAGGGGAACAAGTTAACATTCATATATGCAACATTGTATGGAATTTTGCTTTACATGCAAACACTTGAAGTGCGGGGATGTCTACACTACGGTGTACAAGCTAGTAAAACAAAAAACATATTGATGAGAGGGGGAGATTGATTGGTAGAGGCATATATATATATATACTTTTTTCTTCTTTTTTTTTTTCATTCCTTGGGTTTTGATCTAAAACCCCAATAATTTACAAACATGGTACGGTTACAACCATGTAAAAAGCTAACAAAACCCAACATATGAAAATGTAAGTACAATATAGAACTTATGAAAGATCCTTTACTAAAAACAAAAAATAAAAAACTCGAAAACTAAACCGAACTACAAGTTTCTAAGAGTACTTGTGCCAACACAAGAGCAGAGAGATGCACACCCTCATGATATAGAGCTTTGCTCTCTGTTGTCTCACCCTTCTCTTCCACTTAGCATATCTCTCACCATCCTTGCCATTTAGTCCCTAATTCCACTTCAGTCTAGCTTGAACCAAGCCTTAATTTATTAAGGACTCTACTTGCCAAGCCACATTGGATCCACATGTGAACCTAGAGGCCTTATCAAGGGGCTCCACTTGTATCTCCACGATGCCTCGATGTCACGTGGCATTTTCTCTCTCCAAGTTCAACCTAAATATCCTATCAATCAGTCAAGATGCCAGCAACTTATCATTGTTGCCTCATGTTAAAGCAATTTTAAGTACTTGTTTGGTACAACTTATTGGAGCTGCTTTTAAGATTTTTTTTTTAATATGTATCAAATTTTTGTGTTTTAGTTTCTATTTGTAACTTATTAAATAGAAATAGTTGATTATCTAGAAGTTAAGAGATGGGTGTTTTTAGTTTCTGCTTTTTAATTATCAATTTTCAGCGTAAGAAAAACTACAACAAACAGGCCCAGTCTCAAACATGAATCTTATCCCTCCATTGCTGCTAACCCCACACCATCATCTTGTCTGGGGGCACCGTCTTTTCTTCCCAAAGATAACTTTGGACAACACAAAGGGGAGTGAGTGACCCCCTTTTTACATTCAATAAGAGC